AAATAAATTGCGTTGATTTTGGAGTCACGATATTGACCAAATTAACGTTGTAAATTTCATTCTAAATGCATATCTATGGAGGTATGTATACGATTTTTTTTATAATTGGTCTAGATGAGATGAGATGAAATTTCAAACCAAACAAAAAAAAAAAGAGATCTGATTTTCTTGTTAAAATTCCAAACTCTCTGCATATTCTGATTTTTCGAAATTTACGGTTTACTCCTTCAAAAATTTCATTTTAGTCCCTTAGATTTGAAAATTTTACAATTTAGTCCACATATTTTTCGGAATATGCAGCTCGTTCCATTCATCATACGCAATTATGAATCTATTTCAAAATTTTCAGTTTTCACTGATTTTTTAAAATTGCAGCCTTGTTCCCGAAGTTTTACAAATTTACAGTTTGGTCCCTAAATTTTCAAAATTTACAGTTTGGTCCCTGAATTTTCAAAGTTTTGAAATTTGACCATTTATGTTCAGAATCTGATAGATTCTCAAACGAAGTTATATTCAGCCACATAACATGATATCACGTGGTTTGTTTATTATTTATGCTATGCAATATTTTGCACTCTTAATGGGAGATACTTTTATGGCATACATTATCAATTGCCATTTTAATGAGACAATATTCCCGCCGTTAAGGGGGAGATAAGAAGCCGGTTCTTGTATAACGGCGTGACTTATATGAAATGATCTTTGTCTCATCTAAATTTGTGCATGGAAATATTTAAGCACAAAAGAAAAAAGAATTCATTTGCAACAATTTTAATGTGTAAAATGCTAGATGCATTTATCGACCAAATGGCAACTTGAAATTATTACATATGTTGCAAATGAGTGCAAGAAAAAATGTCCAAGAAGAACACATTGCACATTAGATTTTGCCATGAGAGGCTTATAAATGAATGTCCTCGAAGGACAAATTTCACATTGTGATTGCATTGTGAATCCCTAAATGGGTGAAAAATGATTATGGTACACAACTAACCAATTACAATTTATACATATAAGAGGGGGAGATATATATGTTGGTTCGAATGATTAACACCCCAAGAAGTGGGTGAATATCGTGTAACTAAAGTCTACTAGCGTTAGTAGCATCATACTCTCATCCTATTAATTATCTCATTATATGAAAGGATTCGTCTTAAAGACGATGTTGGGGGACGCCTCAACACCAATATCCATTACTATGATATGAAAATATATACTTGCCAGTTATGGTGGCATAAATGAAATACATATTTGGATGAGAAAATCATTGATGATTATATGGTAGCTACCGAGACCATTATAAATCGAACCATTATGTGCCAATAAAGAGTTGATTGGCAAATAAAACATGGCTAGCTTGCTCTCTAAGTGAATAGAGAGGCATTTGAGACATTAGTTCTCAATTTTGTTGTTGTACCGATATAATATCTTAAATAATTGAAAATTCTTTTCGAACGAATATTCATGTACCAAATTGAATGTTAATATTGAGTTTGAAAATAATGTGGACAAGTAGTCCTCAATACCCCCTTCACATTGTGAAACTCAAAAGCGCGCATTTTGTCCATGTAGGACATTTATATTGAAATAAATAATGAGCTCAAGCACATAAAGTATTATGACAAACTTTATTGATGCAATATAGAAAATTCTCATTAAGAGAAAAATACATGGTACATGAAAAGATATAGATCTCTACAAGAGATCGTACCCACAAAGGCTACAATCCCCATGTAATTCTCTAAAGAGAATCATGTACCGGAAAGTGAAATAGTGAGCTCTTAATTGATGATAAAGAAATATGGGGAGTACTAAAAATGTTATCGAATAACTATATGTACAATTATTTTTCTAATGTGAAGAGCCTGAAGCTCATACATTTTGATAGATGTCGACATCTAATTGGTCATTAGTATATGCATTCACAAATGCAATTGACCATGATTATTTGAAATTATTGATGAAATGAATTGTACATTGACTTGCGGTCATCACACATGAAGTTGTGAAAGCCTTTAGTACAAAAGTGGGTAAAATCATTGCGGTAAATTTGAATGCCTTTGAAAATATATTTTTATGATGCAATCACTTTATGATGGTATTCAAAATACTTGACATGCATCATATGGATGCAAGTACCGCATATATATATGGATCATAAAATTAATGAAGAATTGATAATGCGTTGTGCATATAATCAGAGGTCCCGTGAGTTAGACTCTAGAAATGATCCATTTACATATTATCTTCAAAATATGGTATATTCATCTCAGTGAATACATTGTTAATGATCAAATAATTTGACTTACCATTATCATGGTATAGATGTGAATGATCTAAATCTTGTGGTGACATAATTTGAGATGAAAAATCTTGGAAGGGCAAAATTTATCTGGAAAAGAAGATCTATTAAATGGAATCTTTATCCATTAATACACATAAGAGATGGATAAGACTCATTCAATTGAGTGGTATTATGTTTGTCCAATTACTGAATATAGTTAAAAGATTTTCTAACCCTGAGAAGATAAAGAAAGAACTGCAAGTTCCAAAAGTGTAAAATGTGTACTACACTATCTTTATGGAAAATTTGGTGGATCTTAAAGAGGATATATAGTTGGCTATATCAAAATCAAAGAATAAATTCATATATCGGAGTTTTGCCAACTACATCATTGGGAAGATGATTAAAAGTCATATGTCGAAATCAGGGGGAGCGCGATCAGTAACGGCAACATTATACTCTTTTTCTTTCGTCCAAGTTTTTGTCCCATAGGGTTTTTCTTGGCAAGGTTTTAACGAAGCAATGTCACGCTCACAAGCTTCAGATGGATATGTACTCTTTTTCCTTTGTTTAGGTTTTGTCCCATCGAATTTTCCTAACAAGGTTTTAACGAGGCATATTCCATAAATGGTGGACATCCAAGGGGAAGTATTATGAATTCTTGGAGGTTATGGATGGCCACCATTACACTCTCCATTAAACCCTCATTACCTCCACCATTATTTATCATTAAGGTCTTGTAACTCATGACCTTTGACTAGCTTTTCTACACCTATAAATTAGGTGCAATGTATTGTATTTTGTACACTTGAAGATATGGAATAATATATTACATATTCTCCCTACACTGCTCTCTTTTCTTTGTATATTATTTCCTAGTTTCTCAACACTTATAAATTCTTTTTACTCATTATAAGATCTTAAATTAAAAAAAAATGTGATGGGGGTACTTTTAATAAAAAAATCTTAATTGCTCTCAACAACTTATTTTTCAAATTTTTAAGATTTTTTAAAGAAAAAATATCAAAACACTTTGGAAGAACTTATAAGCTCTTAAACATTTTATAAACTATTTTAACAACTTATAAGTTTACTCAAACACCGTCGTAGCACATCAGTATGAATAGCGTACACAATATATATTAATTTGGTCTAAGTTTAATGTAGGTAAATCTAATTTATATATGTCAAACTCAAATAAACATTTAAAATCAATCTCGCATACACTATATTCTTATATATTGTTGCTTTCAAAATAAAATGGAAGTTCAATCCTCACAATTTTATTTTATTTTATTATTATTATTATTATTATTTTTTTTTTTTTTGTCTTATATCAAGTTTTAGGCACTTGGTAGTAACAACTAACAAGTCCACCTAACATAGTTAGTGAAACACGTAACAAATATAAAGCAGTCCACATCAAGAAATCATACAGCAAATCTGATTAAATTGTTAATTATGTCATCAAAGTACCTAATTAAGTTTGATTATATTCTATAATAAGATCAAGCTTGATGATTCACCGGTTACCATATTTATTATTAACATGTATGTGGTCAAATTATTATTGTCTAAACAATTATTATATCCTATGATAACCAAACAAGGGACACGTGTAGAACGTATACCGGGGCGAGACCAGAAAATTTGAGTAGGGTGCAGTTTTTTATGAATTAATATAACGGTGGAAGATATATTGTTTTGGGAGTTCGGGAGCATCGCCCTCGAATGTTTTTTAGAATATAATTCGTAAAAGGAAGCAAAAAATTAAGTAATATTTTATGAAAAATGGTATGACTTTAACAATGTATGCAGGGGCGGAACCAGGAAATTTGAGTAGGGTGCAGGTTTTAAAAATAGTACAACGGAGGGTAATAAATTATTTTGGGGGTTTGGGAGCATCGCCCTCGAATGTTTTTTAGAATATAATTCGTAAAAGGGAAGCAAAAACTTAAGTAATATTTTATGTGAAATGATATGATTTTAACAATAATATTTTATATTATAATGATAAATATGAAAAAATAAATTTACATGAAAGACTAGAGAAAAAAAAATGAAGGGTCAAAACTCATATTTATAAAAGATTGGGGGACCAAAACCTATATTTTAAAAATATTACTCAAAATTTTAAATCTTGGGGGTCCAATGCCCCCCTTGCCCCTCTTATTTTCCGCCACTGAACGTATAATTCATTAATTCATAACTACGTATGCACGCACGCTTATATGCGTTCGTGGCTTTGTTGATGGAGTATGAGAATACGGTGTCCGTTTGTAGTTTGGCTCCCATTAATTATTTTTAATAACTACGCTTGTTTTTTAATTCAAGACTCGAAGCCTGTTTCGGTTCGACTTTGCAAGAACTTAATTTGTACATCCAGAGTTCTGTGAAGATAATTACTTCTCTATTTTGTATCCCTGTACTGTTTAAATATTTCCGCCTTTGAAGGCAAATCGTCAACAAGTTTCGTACTTGTATTTCGACTTTTACTATTCCACTGATTACTCTATCTTTACATTTTCATCATCGGGTTCGGTGTCATTGATTTCTTTCAGTGTCAACACTCACTTTTTAGCCAAAAACCGAACAATGTTTTCCAAACAAGTTAAGATCAATTGAACCGTTAACATACGTCGTAAATTTGCCCAGTTCCGTCTCTTCAACTCGTAATGATATCATCACCTTCCCCACATCCGTACGGCCATATTGATCACACACAAAAAAAATATATATATATTGGGGGTACTTACCCCCAGTTTTTAACATTACAACAAACAAAACATAAGAAATCCAAAAATAAATCAAAAACAGTGAAGAAAGACCGCCACTTGTCTCAAACGAGGCTCGAAAAAGTGACTGCAGAGCTTAACGATGGAAGAAAAAAGAACGAAAAAACTAATAACTCTATTTGAGTAACCAAAGGCACCTACCTTGGGAAGGAAGAGTCTTGCTTTTGTCGGTCTTTTAATCATGACATTTGTTCACTTTGTGGACCAACTAACTAACTAACTGCTTAGGAAACAAAACTGTCGAACAAAATAAGAGCATCAAAATAATCAAGAATTCAAGTAGTCTTCCCATCCACCTTTTTCCAGCTTATCATCCTTTACCAAAACTTCGTCTCTTCTATCTTCTTGGTATTGCGCCATTCTACACCACAACAAACGAACGAGCCACTTAATGTTTTTTTTTTATGTGTGTGTGTGTGTGTGTGTGTGTGTGTGTGTGTGTGTGTGTGAGAGAGAGAGAGAGAGAGAGAGAGAGAGAGAGAGAGAGAGAGAGAGAGAGAGATTCGCCACCTGGATTGCAAGTCGAGGTCGCTAATTCCTAACAACCTTACAGCCAAGAGGCCTGCGTTTGTTGCATTATTTATTGCTACTGTTGCAACCGGAACTCCTCTTGGCATCTAAAAACCACACACACGAAATCAAAGTTCAAATTAAATATTTCCTAGCCAGATCATTGGATTTACATAATGGAATGGCAGATTAAAAGCATCGATCGACAGATTTTCGATGCAGCACGCGCATATAACAAGAGAACACATAGTGGACATGTACTTTCCAGTTTACTGAACATGTTGTACAATGTAAAAGGCTCGCGCTTATTTGTCGCTATGAAAATTTTAAAAAAAAATCAAAAATCCCATCCTTTTTTACACACAGATAGAAACGTAAGTACCTGAACAATAGACAAGAGAGAGTCGAGTCCATCTAATGTAGATGCACGCACTGGAACACCAATCACGGGCAAGGGAGTCAATGCAGCTACCATGCCTAATTATTAAACAAACATTATATATATATATATAGAATCAGATTTCGAAAGATAAAAATATCATGTATGTACTAATTAATGCAAGAGATGATGACCTGGCAAGTGAGCGGCACCGCCAGCACCAGCAATAATGACCTGGATGCCACGCTGGCGAGCGGATGCAGCATAAGAAAACATCATTTCTGGTGTCCTGTGAGCCGATACTATTCTTACCTGTCGAACAAACATTATTCATTCAGTAAGATTTAATATTTCACCCTATTTATTATATGCGAACAATCGTTTCTTAAATCTACGTAAAAAATAACCTCTGAAGGGACATTGAACTCTCTTAATATCTTAGCCGCGTCCTTCATTACGGGTAGGTCCGAGTCGGATCCCATTATGATTCCGACACGTGGCAGAGCTGCAAATGGAAGAAATGACCGTTATACCCCCCAACTGATTCAATAAAAAAATAACAGACTACATAAAGAATTGAACTTTGGAATTATAAAAAGTACACCAGTCGAATAAAAAGCAAACCTGCAGGCTGGTCGTCCTCGATTTCTTCCCCTAACATAGATTTCAATCGAGCTTCAACAATGCCCATAGAAGGTCCAACGAGTGTGACATGACCCATCTTTCTTTGCTTCCTCATCTCTACAAAAATTAAATACTAACTGTCACTAATATATATATATATATATATATATATATATATATATATATATATATATATTTTAAAATAAAATAAAAAAATTGTTTTCAGCATTAACGGACCTGGTTTGTCATACCAATGAACTGTTGCCCCTGGAATATTCAACGCCCTTCCAATAAGTTTATTAGCAATAACGAAACCCTGTTCTCCCTGTATCCGTAATTTGTGAAGCATATAGTAAATATGTAAAAGCCCACTTAAAAAAAAACAAATAATTGATTTAAGTGCAATAACGTAAATTCACCTCGTCTTCACCGAGTATATTGTACATGATAGAAGCAGGGGTTTTCATCGACGGATCGCCTAGTGGAAGTCCAACGACAGCCCTTAAATGCTGCTCGTATTGCGAAGTGAAACAACACTCGATTGTTTGGTGCCCGCTATTATGAGGTCTAGGTGCTACTTCATTCAGTAATACCTTACGAGAATTAAAAGCATATAATAATCACACATCAGTAGCTTCGAAAATACAACCAAAAATAAGATTAAAAAAAAAAAAAAAAAAAAAAAAAAACACTACCTAAAAATACAACCAAAAAAAAATTAAAACAAAAAAGAAAACAATGTACCTGACCGTCAGATGTGAGAAACAACTCGACCGCAAAAACACCGGCGCCTTCTAATGAACTCACAGCTTTATATGCAACATCTGTGGCTAGTTTCATCGTCTTCCACGATACGTCGGCAGGTGATTTAACAATGTGACAAATGTTCTCCCTGGAAAGAAAAAAAAATAAATAATAAATAAAATTGAAAATATATTAAGCAAAGAATTAATAGAAAATAAAATTTTACGAGAGAAAGAATCATCTCGCCTGTGAATAGTTTCTACGACAGGATAGCACAGCACGGTATTATCTCTTCCTCTTGCCACGATGACAGAAAGCTCCTATATTTAATTCAAGATATACGATTTTACATCAATAAATAATCAAGCAAATATTAAAAAATGCACGCTCTACGATTATTCAGAATGTGAAGTTGTTAACATACAGAAGCTAACCTTCACAAATGGTGCCCATTTCTCTACATATAAACCACGAGCATATCCTCCAAGGGCTGCAAGTTTGCAACGACTGAGTTAAGATATTAAAAAATTACGGTTTCGGGATAACTGTAATTAAACTAAAAGAATTACCATTTACTGCCTGAGAAATTTCGTCTTCGGTTTTAGCAACTGCATTTCCTCGTCCATCGTAAGCCAGCCTTTTGCTCTTTATCATAAGTGGATAACCGAAAATTTCCCCTGCTTTTTTAGCACTTTCAAGATCTTCTATCTGCGAGTGCACACATTTTTTGACGGGGCAGTTTTTTTTTATTTAACACTCAAATGCATATTTTTTTTAATTCTTTGCCAGTAAATATAATACCTGTACGAATTTAGTCAGCGGAATTGCATGTCGAGAAAAATGGACCTTCTGGAGGTACTTATCCTGTTCACAAACATGCCTTGTATAAATGCCAATTGTTTTCTTATAAAAAAAAATAATAACAAGTTGTTCATTTGGAAACTCGATTCTTCCGCTTCATTTTTTATTTATATTAATTTCTTTTTACTTTTCTTTGTTTATAAAAGAAATAATAATAATAATAATACAAAAAATTGCATATAGCGGCTAAGCTAAACGAGAATATTGTTCGATGAGAAAATATTTTATGTTATGCCTCTGAAAAGAAACAAAAACCTGAATAATCCGGATAGTCGAAGCTTTAGGTTGGCAATCAACGCCTTGTTGTTCAAGTTTCTCGAGAGTTGCAGCATCGACATGCTCGATTTCAACGGTCAATACTCCACATCTATAATAATAATGCAACCCCGACAACCAAAATTAGCACATCAAAAAGTAAAGTTCCGTCTTACTTCATAAAAAGAAAAACAAATCGAAACCTTTTGGCAAATTCTTCAACTGTGGCACTATCATCGTAGCTGCCGACCATATGATAATGGCATAGGTTACTTGCCGGACAATTCTCCATTGGATCCAAAATTACAACCTTTATCGCCAGCTGTGAAGCTGCTTCGCACAACATACGCCCAAGCTGCCCTCCCCCTAGAACACCCACAACCGTTTCCGACACCCCATGGACCGCTATATCAGTACCCCTGTAATTAATTAAATATATATATATATATATAGTTCAAAATTTAATAAAAATCGAACACGAAAGTAATCAAGATTGATTGTATCGGTCCTCAAACAGAAATTTCGATCACGAATTCCAAGACCACAAGCAAATTAAACTCACCCTACTGAAATGTAATGTAATATACCTGGGGGAAGAATGTTGAACTTCCAAAGAAGCTTTGCAAATAATTTGAGGAGCCCTTAGGGAAAAATTATTCGAGGGTTTTACGTTTCGGTTCATTGGAATAGAAGCGCCGCCCCTGTAAAGTGTACTTCTTTCGAGATTGAAGAAACCCAATGAAGATGTGGCGGCGGAGGTTATCGTCGGCGGCGGTGGGCTTTGACAAAAACCCTTCAGTATCTGCATTCTCTCTCTCTCTCTCTCTCTCTCTCTGGAAAGCAGCTGCAGCTTTTTCACAGAGAAATGGCGGAGATAGTCAAGTTATATTTTTTAGGGCTTTATTGTTTACCCTCTATGGAGAATGGAAACTTACTATGCCGGTATCCGCCGCCGCCGCCGCCGCCGCCGCCGCGTTCTGAAATCTGATGTCTGAAACCGCGTTGGAGAAACCCTGGAGTGTGTGTGAGACTGTTCTTACAAAACTTTTTTGTATTCAATTGTTACCAAAACCGAACGGGTTATTCAGTTGCACTTGCATCAGAATAATATGAATATTGGGGGTTTCTAATTTGCAGGGGCGGCCATGTTTATATCGTGAGGTATTAGCACAGACCCCCTCTCTCTAATGTCTAATTGCTAAAAAGTCCTCGTGTTAAACAAATTATCATTTACCCCCTTTTGTTGTATTTTATATTTTTATTTAGTCCAGTCCCCCATAGCCGAAATAAGAATGTTGACTTTAAGAAAACTAGTAACCGTGCCCGTGCGTTGCACGGGGTTGCATTCAACAAAGGAAAAAAAAGTAATTGTTTAAAAAAACGACAGTACAAATTGTAATAAAAAATCAATCAAATAATATTCAAAAGTATCCGTGAAATTCAAATTACAGTACTATTATCTTATTTTATTGTAGCATATATTTTTCATCCTACAATAAATATAAATATATACACACACACACCTAGTGTCAATATATAAAACATATGTTAAATAATAAATAATACAAATTTAACAAAGGGGACGGGTATTTCAAATTTCAATTGTTTATCAATTCAATACCGCTAAATAATAAATAGGTAATGACATTTATACATTTAGGTCCCGTTTGGTTGTCAAGATAAGTCATGATTAACTAAATAGTTGGACCTAATTTGATGTTTGGTATCCTTAATAAATTATCGGGTCGACCCGCCAAAATTATATAATCATGGCTTATCTGGTCTTATCTTGGCTTATTTTGCCTTCTAATGAGTTTTTTTTGTTGGACGTTTCAAGCTCCAATAAAATAATTGGGTCTCATTAGATTATTTAATCTTATCTTGGCTAATTTATCTTGCCAACCAAACGGGGCCTTAATGAAAATTATTATCTCACAAACATAAAAAATCTCATTTTTTCTTTCTTTTAATACCACACACACAAACTCCTCACACCCTTTTATTTCTTCTTTACAACGACCATCCCTCCCACTCATGTTTCTTCTTCTTCTTCTCATTCTTTTTTTTTTCTTTTTCTTATCCTTCTCCTTCTCCTTCTACTTCTCCCGCTCCTCCTCCTCCTCCTTCTCCCCTCCCCCTCCCCCTCCCTTCTTCTTCTTCTTCTTCTTCTTCTTCTTCTTCTTCTTCATGCTTCTTCCTTATTCTTCTCCTCCTCATCTTCATCATCTTCTTTTTCTCCATTTTCCTCTTCATCCTCTTTCTCTTCCTCCTCTTTCTCCTCCCCTTTGTCATCCTCATCTTCTTTCTCCTCATCCTCTTCGTCATCCTCATTTTATTTCTCCTCCTCTTCGTCCTCCTCCTCTTCTTCCTCCCCCTCTTCGTCCTCTTATGCGTCTTTTTGCATCTTCTTCTTCTTATTTTTCTTCTTCTTCTTATTTTTCTTCTTCTTCCTCCTTGTTCTTCTTCTTCTTATGGCTGACATACGGTGAGTCATTGTGAACGGAAATTACGTCTGAAGTTGACAAAAAAATTAAAATCATTAGCAACTATTATGTGATGTGAAATTTAAACATATTGATATGCCTAATTGGGCCAGCCCAATGGGCCTACAATCTCTTTACCTATTGGGCCACGAGCCCAATATCTAAGACTATTATCACCGAGGCCAAATCACCTTCAAATAAGGTTTGGGCCCAACAATCTCATCTAAGCTATAAATAAATGTTTGAACTCATTCCTCAAGGTAGGTCCTATTAACTGAGCAATACTACAATGTATATTCTCTGGACTATTTCTATGATCAGCACGTCTGACTTGAGCGTCGAGGGTTTCGCCGCCGGATCAACCCCCGGCTTAGTTCATGTGTTCTATGATCGCAGGTACCTCAAGATCATCATGTTGTCAAGCTACTGATCTGCTTTGCTCTTCCAGTTCATTTTCTACACTACCCCAAGGTGATCTAAGTATTTAGCATCATCATTTTGGCGCCGTCTGTGGGAACGATGCAAACCAGATCACGTAGCCAACAAGATCCTCCTGAGGCGTCTGCTCGGAGAGAAAATGACACAGCTAACGACCTCCCACCTCGTGGAGGCTCTGGCTTGCCACCTCCTCCACGTCCCATGGATCCGCCTTGCGAGATTCAGGTGATCCCCCTCGGGACCAACCACTCGCCGATCCACCACTCTCTGCTCCTCGAATGCTTCAAATAACCGAGGATGCGCTTCAACGCATGATAGCAGAAGCTTCAACTCGCGCTGCCATAGAGGCCGTGACCCAATATATCGCCACGATGGGAGCAAATGCTCCCAATGCGATACCAGCACCTGCTCCACATGTGGAGCCACCTATGGTACCACCGCCAAGGGTTATCGACTCCTTGGGGACTTACATCTGCCCCCAAAATATTTCGCTCGCCAAGGGTTATCGACTCCCTGGGGGCTTACCTCTGACCCCAAAATATCTCGCTCGCCAAGGGTTATCGACTCCCTGGGGGTATACAGTGCCCCCAAAACATTTCGCTCGCCAAGGGTTATCGACTCCCTGGGGGCTTACATCTGCCCCCAAAATATTTCGTTCGCCAAGGGTTATCGACTCCCTGGGGGCTTACCTCTGACCCCAAAATATCTCGCTCGCCAAGGGATATCGACTCCCTGGGGGTATACAGTGCCCCCAAAACATTTCGCTCGCCAAGGGTTATCGACTCCCTGGGGGCTTACATCTGCCCCCAAAATATTTCGTTCGCCAAGGGTTATCGACTCCCTGGGGGTTTATAGTGCCCCAAAATATTTTGCTCCCCATGGGTCATCGACTCTCTGGGGGCCTACTTCCGCCCCCCCTCGAACGGTTCAGATAACCGAAGAGGACCTTCAGCGTATGATCGCCGAAACTTCAACAATATCAACTTCTATTTGCTCATCTAACGGTTAAGATAACCGACAAGGATCTTCAGCATACGACCGCGAAAGCTTCAACTCGTGTTGTCACTGAAGCAACGACACAACCGTGTGCATTCACCTCAGACCATAGGTCTCGAGCGCCTCATCCTACAGTGGGTGGTTAACCCATCCCAAGGTTGGGCACCACCCTTACCTTTCAACCCCAAGTGGGTCCACATCACATCACAAGAGACGAGTATAATCTTCCTACTCAAAAAATAGAACATCCCAAGGGGTGAACATCAACCACCAAAAAAAAAAATCAAAGAAGAAGACGAAAAAACAGAAGAAGAAAGAAAAAGAATGAGGAAGATGAAAAAATAGAAGAAAAAAGAAGAAGCAAGAAGAAGACAAAAGAAGATGAAAAAATACAAGAACAAGAAGAAGGAAACAAAAAAATCGAGCACGATTCCCGAGGCAGCCACGGGCACGATTCTCGAGGCAGCCACATGCACGATTCCCGAGGCAGCGCGCGGGCACACTTCCCGAGGCGCGCGCGGCACGCTTCCCGAGGCGAAACAAAAAAAAAGAACGGACACGATTCTTCTTCTTCTTCTTCTTCTTCTTCTTCTTCTTCTTCTTCTTCTTCTTCTCCTTCTTCTTCTTCTTCTTCTTCATGCTTCTTCCTTATTCTTCTCCTCCTCTTCTTCCTCATCTTCTTTTTCTCCATTTTCCTCTTCATCCTCTTTCTCTTCCTCCTCTTTCTCCTCCCCTTCGTCATCCTCATCTTCTTTCTCCTCATCCTCTTCGTCATCCTCATTTTATTTCTCCTCCTCTTCGTCCTCCTCCTCTTCTTCCTCCCCCTCTTCGTCCTCTTATGCGTCTTTTTGCATCTTCTTCTTCTTATTTTTCTTCTTCTTCCTCCTTGTTCTTCTTCTTCTTATGGCTGACATATGGTGAGTCATTGTGAACGGAAATTACGTCTGAAGTTGACAAAAAAATTAAAATCATTAGCAACTATTATGTGATGTGAAATTTAAACATATGATGTAACATAAATCTAAATAAATAATTGTACTGTTTACCTGCAGAAAGAGTTGAAAAATGTTGGTGAGGAAGAAGAAGACGAACAAAAATATTAAATGAGCAAGAAGAGCACGAACAAAATAATTGTGTTTTTTGGTGGAGTTCTCCATGAGTTTAAATAGACTAAAATTTATAATGGGGTAGAGATCATGGTGTTCTAACTTCTACCATGATGAGTTAGTAGATGGTTAGAGTGAATAAGGAAAACAAAAAAAAAATTTAAACACGGTAAGGAAATATATGGAATTAGTGTTTATAATTTATTATAGCTATGCATTTTAATATGTCCATTAATCAATGAGTAATTTATCATGAATATCTATAGGTTCCATTAATTGGTGTGGGATTATACACACTACCCAAAATAATAGAAAAATATTACCATTTAATATTAGATGTTCTTAAATTAGAGATTTATTAATTTACAAAATTGCCCATAGGTTTAGGTCTAGATTTTAGTTCAAAATACCTTTAGTTTATATATAAGATATGGACAAAATAGTTCATATTTACTTGCTGCACAATTAATTGCAGGACTGATTTCGTGTGGAATGGAGGGGCTCCATGAAGAAATATTCAAATATTATACTCAATTTGCTATCGGGAAAACAAAACCTCCATTAATAAAGACATGAATCATACAAAGAAAATGCATATAAAAAATAAAAATACATGATAACATCGTTGTTAAATGGAATTTGATGGAAGTCCGGATGGAATTTCAGATTAGCGATCCAAATCTCCGCATCTGACTTCGTTTCTTAACGACATGCCCAAGAAAAACTACTATCCACGCCACTTCTTTCGTGTAGTTCACTCATTGGCCCCGTTGTGATTGCATGACATATAATTGCGGATGATTCCATTGCCAATTGATGAGCTTTCGTGTGTTGAAGTCTTGCTAGAACATCAATTCATTCATAGGTCTTCTGATCGGCAAAAAGTTTCAATTTAAAGCGTGGTGGGGATAATGATTGCTTTTAGTGGAAACGTGTATTATTCCATGCACCCTGAAATAATGTATGAAGTTAAAGTTCAGATGCATGCAAATACATTGTAATTAATGATACAAATATGAAGTATCAACGATGTTCGTAAAATTTGGAGCCATTCTGCATGAACATGACAACAACATAACCATATCAGAATACACACGTTAACTCTGAACATCATCAAATGTATATGGAATGGAATACAATAAAATGACAGTGAAGACTATACAAAGAGAAGCCAACGGTAGCAAAATATAATTTCGAGAGACAATAGTTGAATGATATGAACCAACATAAACTAAATCCTTGAGAAATCATTATATGCATACAATTCGAAACCAGCAGATAAACTTGAGTAGTTGATAAAAAAAAAAAAAAAAAAAAATTCAAACAAAAAACTGCTGGAGACGTGGAATGAGATGTGGACTAAACAATTATTATTAGTTACCAAAGATAAAAGGCTGTAGATATTGAAAAAGGAGTGTTGTTTTGTTTATGTAACGTGGCAAAAAACACGGCACAACCCATGTTTCTTTTATTCTGAAAGAAAAATATTAAAAAAACCTCACACCAATAATAAAGTCTGTGAGATCGCAAGGGAGAGGATTATATAATATCCTGTGTGTAGAAGTTAAAAAAGAAGATCTCGTTTTTTGTTGTAGAGGTTAACGCAAATATAGGTTTGAGGAGAGAAGTTGTTGTGAGATTACAAATCGTGTGTTGCTGCAGTTCACACACATCGTGTATACAATTTTTTTTTTTTTTTTTGTTTTGTGTTTTTTTTTTCATTTTCTGAGTGTTATCAGATGTTTAGAGAAAAAAACTACCACAAAATCCATAAGAAAAAAATACCATTAAAAAATATATTAAATGACTAAAATGCCCCTAGGTTTAGGTTTAGGTTTTAGTTCAAAATATCTTTCTTTTATATATAAGATGTTTTAGTTCCAAAGTGTTTAGTAAATATTTAAAAAAAGATCTTAATTTTTTTAAAAATAAGTTGTTGGAGACCAAATAAGATCTTTTTAAATAAGTACCTCTACCCTACCTTTTTATTTAAGATCTTATAATGAGTAAAAATAGGAAATAAGCTTATTATCAAAACACTCTATAAATTAATCCTAAAAATAAGATGTAACAGCTTATCAGCTCTAAAAACATCTTATCAGATGTAAGAGCTTATCAGCTATTTAAAATAAGTTTAGCCAAACACCCTCTTACTTAGAGTATGGGTCCGATCTTTTTTTGCCATTTAGCAACACCCCCCTTGTTTGACTTTTATAATTATCTTAAATCATAATGCTATTGATATTCATATTCCTATTATACCCTTATAAGACATATTTCCACCAAAAACCCTACCCCAAGACATATCTCGTCATTTGCAGCATTCTCTCTATCTGCTATGTTCTTTCTCTCTCTTTCTCTTGCTCTCTCTATACTTCTCTCTTCTCCCCTTTCTTCTACGACGAGAGACACGACATCGGCAACGCGATGGTTGTTCCTGCTAGGGTAGACCAGGGTTGTTAGTCATCGGTCGCACGCGGTGCAAGATGGCAACGGAGCGACCAACACTAATGATGCGACGACGGTTCGTTCTATGGTAGATGGTGGAATTTTGCTAGTGTTTGGCGGTGTCGGTTCGTTCTATGGTAGATGGTGGATTTTTGCTAGTATGTGACGGCGGCGGTTCGTTGTATGGAAGATGGTGGAATTTTGCTACGGTTTGGCGGTGGCTCTTACAAGAGTAATCAACGGAGATTCTTCTCCTAGGGTTTAGTCGCGCGCGATACAAGATGGCTAATTTGTAATTGGTTTTCGATAATTTGTAGTTGATTTAAGTGATTTTCGTAGTGGGTTTCGGTTTGTAGCTGGTTTCGGTGATTTTGTAGTTGATTGTGTAATCCTTTTTGCTATAATAAATAGTTGTTTTATTTGTATTTATTTTAAAATTAAAGCTGATTATCTAATAAAAAATAGGGGGCTTAAGATATAGGTCCCTAGTGACAAATCTAATTAGAACTAAATGACAAGTCAAACTAAACTTTTGCTTCACATCCTTTATTAAATTTATTCCAAAAATGCCCTTTCACTGCATTTAGTAAAATTCAAACTGCATTTATCATTTTTTATTATGCATTTAATATCTTATTTTTTCATCTAACATATTTTATTTTATTTTTATAGATTTTGTCGTCTTTATTTTTTGATTCACTCTAGCATTTTTTACATTATTATAAACAACTTAATTTTTAATTTTTTTTACATTTTACATAAAATTACGATTTTTTTTTCTCGTTTTTGTTAAATAAAACAGCAGTTTTTAAAATACTATGGTATACTATGGTATACTATAGTGTACTATGGTATACTATAATTTAGTAATATTGAAAATTATGAATGTTAAAAAAATATTATCGGTCGCAGTCGACCATAGACACCGATAGGAACCATAGTAATTCGTCGTCACATACTCTTTTAACCCTAACTCACATTTTGAACCATAGCCGCTACCCTATTCGTAGACACTCTATAGTAATTCAGAGAAACCCGCACTCATCCAATATGAAACCCTAGATCCACCACCACCACCACCACCACCTTCCCCTCCATCCTCATCCTCCATCTTAATTAGCTTTCCCCTTCTCCAAGCACAACATCAAATTCTAACAAACAAATTACCGTCGTCATCGAAGAAAACCACCACCCCCACCATCGACCAAAACCGTCGCCGCCCCCAACTACCAAAATCACCATCGCTCGTCCACCCCCAGCGACCAAAACTGCCGCCGCCCCCCTCGACCGAAACCACCGCCTCCCCCACCGACCAAAACCACTGCCGCCAGCCGTCCCCTAGCGACCAAATCCGCCGCCGCCCCTAGCGACCGAAACCACCGCAACCCCGAGCGACCAAAACCACCGCCGCACCTAGGGACCAAAACCGCCGCCGCTCCTAGCGACCACAACCACCGCAGCCCCAGCGACCAAAACCCCGCCGCCCGCCGCCCGCACACCAAGATCCGATCTGAAAAAAACCCTACAACTAATACCTCCAAATCAGCATCACTATCTAAAATAGAGAAAGATAGAGATAGAGAGAGGAATAGATGAAGGGCTGGGGCCAATGACAAAATGGAGAAAAAAGACCATGTTGAGGTGATGAGAAATTGGAAAAAAAACAAAAGAGAAAAAGCCAGTGAGCGGCGGACGAGAGAGGGAGAGAGAATGGAAAATAAAGAAATAATAAGAGAGAAAAGAAGCGTTGATTTTATTATGTATAATAAGGGTATTTTTGGGTTAAATAAAAATAAAAGGATGTTGGTCAAATTTTATTTTAAACTAAGAATTTAATTAAAATGTTCTATTTTGGGTTGTCCCTCACATCTAATTAGGTTTGATTTGAGGGGTGTCTCCAATATTAACCCTAAAATATAGTTGATTATCTAATAAAATACACAGAAATATATCGCGTTTTCTCGTTCAGGCATAATTTTGACTTGTATATATACCGGTAGAATATATATATCTCGTTTAGCTCCCCTTGCTAAAGAAGCTTTCTTTCAAATGAAAAACTCAAATTTGAACATAAAATTGCTGCAAATGCTCTTGTGTAACTACCAGAAAATGGAATTTTAATGAAAGAATTTTCTGTGACAAACTAAATTCTTTCATATTTGACGATCAAATTATTACTATATTGAAGGTCAATTTTAAGTTGTAACATAAACAATTAGCATTTTTTATGATTGAATTTGTGCCAATATTTCGGGCAACCAATAATTTGTGCCAAGTTAGGGCAACCAACATTCATCATATTTACGTCTTTACATCTTTCGAAATCGCTGTCGTAATAATCCGTAAACCACATATTACATACGATAAAATAAATCTGAATTTCTAATACTTTGAATAAAATCTTCGTAAAATTAGGGGAAAAAAAGAAAAGGTACCTTTAATTCATTTATTTACAAAGGTAAAGAGCAATCTTCAAGAAATGGTCCTATGATTTATTTATCGAATAACTAAAACCGAATTATCATAGAGACTTAGAAGACAAATAAAAAATAAAATAAAATGAATTAAAATTAAAAAAAAAAAAACAATAAAAGCATAGAATACCAACAATCACTGTTGTGCACACGGCACACTCTGAGCGCCGCCTCCATGCATATCTTCATCATCATCATCGTAAGCCTCATGCGCACGTTGCTGCGGTTTTCTACGCATCTCCTCTTCCATATTTACGTCATGCAGAGTCGTCTCCTCACATTCGTCTAATTCCATATCGGTCAACTGAGTTGTTGACTTTTTTGAGGGCAACACAGTCGCAAGAGCTTTGATTTGCTGGGGGTTTAAAGATTCTGGGAAATCCACAGTGAATTGTATGTAAAGTTTCCCCTTCATGAATGACTTTTCGTACATGGGCATTCCTTCGTCATTAATCGCCTTGAATTGATCTGAAGCGTCGGCCAAAAAATAACAGACGTCAGAATTCTTGGAACAGAGAGCCTATATTATGTAAGTATTTACTGAATTTAAAATTTACCAGGCTTGATAACTTCGCCAGGTTCAGATTTAATGAGGAGTTGCCGATTATCCAAATGAGTCAAGACGAACTGAAAACCGCATAGTGCTTCAGTCAGTGTCAAGGTGTGCTCGACAAACAGATCGTCGCCCTTTCGTTTAAACTTAGGGTGCTCCTTTTGTTGAAGTACAAACACAATATCTCCCGTGACAGTGTCAGGCTGCAAAAGAAAAGAAAAAAATTGAATCAAGATTCAATCAAAATCCCATATACGTAAAAGAAGATTATTCAACGTTTAAAATAAAAATAGTTGGTTCTTAGAATTACCGCTTCATCGGCCTCGCCTGGGAAGGTGACTTTCTGGCCGTGTTGCATGCCTTTCTCGACGACCACTTCCAAAACCTTCTTTTCTTGCACAACCTTGTCGCCCTTGCACTTCCCGCATCGGTCTTTGTCGGCAATAATTTCACCGCTGCCTTTGCAGTCGTTGCAAGTATGCTGCATCTGCTGAACCATTGAAGGGCCTATTCGTCTAATCGACACTTTCGTCCCTAATCCTTTACAGCCACCACATTTCATCGAAGCTCCAGATTTCGACCCTTTACTGTAAAACCACCCACAAATCCAATATATATCAATATTTGTTTTAATTTCAACAGAAGATTAATAAAAATCTAATATCGTATAAATGGAACAGAAAACTCACCCTTTGCATTTGGGGCAAAGAACATTCCGGGAGAGAGAGAGCTTCTTCGAGGTCCCGTTGTACAGATTGTCCAGCGAAACCTTTAAGGGATGAACAACATCCTCACCCCGTCTTTGTCTTCTTTGTCCTCTACTACCTCCACCACCTACAGTAACATATTAAAAATTAATAAAATACGCACATGCAAAAAATCGAGACAATTTTACAGACAACATATGGGAAAAAAAATGCTTACCTCCAAAAGGGTGACCACTACCGCCAAAAAAGGATTCGAAGATGTCGAACGGGTTATGACCACCGCCACCTCCGCCGCCCATTCCTTCCTTCAGAGCATCCTCACCATACTGATCGTATATCTCACGCTTCTCTGGATCATTCAATACTTCATACGCTTGCGCAATCTCTTTAAACTGCAACACTCGGAAACAAGCTCTTTTAGTATTATGAACAGCCGTTAGTTAACGAGTTCACAACCTCTGCAAGTAGCAAGACTCTTGTCTTTTTCGCATCAACTTGCACCCCAAATACTCGGGATCATTAAAATTAGGAAGTTACTCTATGTTTTAATAAATAAATAAATTTATACAACGACTGAAGGATCCCAATTTGAAAGTTGCAATTTCCCATAAGAGAACAAAGAAGACTCGCACGAATATGTCTTCTAGTCACTTCTACTTTAAAAAACATCAGAACATTAAACTTTTGGGTAAATTACAGGCAGCCCCTGAGGTAAGGTTAAATTACGAAAAAACCCCACCTATTTGGATAATTAGAACCAACCCAAAACTACGATTCTTCTTACACGTCCATCTTTATGATGTCAAATTTAACATAATTTTTTCGATTTCGAATGTTTTCTAGTTTGTACTCGTTTTGTGCAAAAACGCAGTTTCTAATGCATCACAATTTAATATTTACAAGCCAAGAGACACGAATTTTACGATCATCGTGCAAGCTCAAACGGGGTAATACGGGTACAAACCGAAGAATATTCGACATAATCTAAAAGATTCCGCTAAATTTGACACCACAAGTGTGACCGTGTAAGAAGATTCATAGTTGAGGGGTGATTGTAATTACCCAAACATGAGGGATTTTTTTTCGTAATTTAACCGGGTAGTCGTAATTTACCTTGAAATTGTGTGCTACTTTCGAATCTCTAATTTGTTTGTGAAGAAATAGGAAAAGCATCGAAAGACGAATATCATAGCTATTATTATCGAAACCAAAAACATTGAATTTTGCCCTAATCAATTCAGCAAAAGAAATCAACAACAACGCAGCAATTAAAAAATACCGATCTTGAACATAAAAAGCATAAATCGAAAATAAATTAAACTACAGAACACAAATAAAAATAGTACCAAGAACAAGTTGACTAAGATTTTTTTTTTTTTTTTTTGTTTTTACCTTTTCCGGATCTCCACCTTTATCGGGGTGATTTTTAATCGCTAATTTACGATACGCCTTCTTCAGATCATCCGGCGAAGCAGTTTTCTCCACGCCCAAGATCTCATAGTACTTGTTGTTATCGCTTTTCTTCGGCGGCGCTCTCCCAAACATCTCTGCTGATTTTTTCCTTCTTCAAAATTAACCCCCAAAAGAAAATATTTTTTTTTCACAAATTCGCGCGAATCGAGCACTACGAATTGATATATATATAGAGATGCGTGATCATACAAATTATATATACATGCACTTACAGGAGAATTGGTGTGGCGAAGTAAAGGTGAAGTTGACGCGCGCGAGAGAGGGGTTAGGTATAGGGTGGATCTGTAGATTGAAATTTCTATCGGACGGCTGAGATTTGTTATTGGAAGATCGTCGCCTGCCAAAGGAGACTCTAGAATGTTCTAAGCACGTTTGTATTTCTTTTCATATTTTTATATTCTCTCTTAATTGGAAGCGATTCTAATTTTGATGGAAGAGGGCAATGATTTTGATAAGAGGGTCAAAAGTTATTTAATTTCCATATAATTAATAATTTACTCACGTGAAAGTAAATATTTAATTATTAGAAAAAAAGTCATCGAAATAGTAATATCAACACTTGATATGAAATAAAGGTAGTAGAAACGTATATATATATTTATCAAAAAAAAAAAAAAAACAATTTGGTTTGGTTTAACTAATTAAGCTAAATCGGTGAAAAAATATGAACGGTATAGAAGACTGAAATTTCGTATACAAAAGACGAAATTAAGCTAAATCGATGAAAAAATATGAACGGTATAGAAGAATCAAATTTCGTATACAAAAGACGAGTACATCCTTGGTCCTAATGCGTACAACCATACTGCTCAATTAATTCAAATTCTTTACTTGTCCATATCAGTTATGAAAATTGCATTTGAACGGAAATCTTTTGGAAAATTGTAACTGTAATCGGCTGGAAAAAAATTCAAAAAAAAAGAGTTCTTAAAAAAAATTAAATAAAAACTAAAAAAAAAGTCAACGCCGGAGGACCGCGCGGTCAACGCCTAAATCTGGCTGAAAAAAAAATTTCAAAAAAATTATGAAAATTGGGGTTAATATGAGATATTTGTTCAAATTCGGGTTAATATGAATATTGATAAAATTATAGTATAATGAATGGAATCGATGGAAATTATATAATGATGAATATTTTAGGAAAAAAACATGCGGATGGGTTTATTTGCGAGATTGTTTTTTGTTTGGACCTATGTGTCTGTTGTCATGGGACTATTTATCATTTGCTATAAATATAATCTTACGATTTACAATTTGATTCCTACGAATTAAATTTTATTTTTATTTTTTTGTTGGAAGTAAATTAAAAGGATATTAGACTTTAAGGGTAAATTACAACCACCCCTGAGCTATGGTCAAATTATGAAAACCCCTCTCGTGTTTGGGTAATTACATCTATTCCCCAACTATAAATTTTTTTACACGTCCACCCTTGCGGTTTCAAATTTATTGGAATCTATAGAATATTATCACGTTTGTATCCATTTTATCCCATTGGAACTCTACATTTTGAAGCAAGATGATCATAATATCTGTTTTACGGCTTATATCTATCAGATTGTTGTGTATCTCAAACTGTATTTTTACACAAAACGAGTACAAACTAGAGCACATTACACGAAATGTAGACTTTTTTTTTTTTTTTGAATAAACACGAAATGTAGATGAGTATGTTGAAATTTGACACCATAAGGATAGATGTGTAAGAAAAAATCATAATTGAAAAGATAAATGTAATTATTCAAACAACAATATTTTTTTTTTGTAAATTGACCATATACCTCAGGTGTTGTAATTTATTTATTTTTTATTTTTATTTTTATATGGGAAAATAGGAAGGGTACTTGCTTCTTTCTGAGAAATAGGTTTGAGAGGATTCTAGAGTCTTCTTTGGCAACAACAAATCTCAGCCGTCCGAATAAAGTTCCCCCTTCCAATTAAAACCACAGATCCATCCCAAAACCTAATCCCTCTTTCTAAATCGCACGCGCTCGCTAGCTTCAGCTCAGCCTCTACACAAATTCTCTTCAGTAAGCTTATATCTATCGTTTTACTAATTTGTATGCACAAATCATACGTATCTACAGATCAATTTGATGGTGAACTGATTTTTTCTTTTTCTCGATTAATTTGGTTGATTTTGATTTTGATTTTGATTTTGAAGAAGGAAAAAATCAGCAGAGATGTTTGGGAGAGGGCCGCCGAAGAAAAGCAATAACACCAAGTACTATGAGATATTGGGCGTGGAGAAAAATGCTTCGCCGGATGATCTGAAGAAGGCGTATCGTAAATTAGCGATTAAAAATCACCCCGATAAAGGTGGAGATCCGGAAAAGGTAAATAATTTCTTAGTTAACTTGTTCTTGGTACTAGGGTTTTTTTTTTTTTTTTTTTGCTCATCTTTGTTTTGAATCAAGTAGATGCGGTTTTTGAATCGAAATTCAATGTTTTTGTCTTTAGTACTGATTATTGTATGTTTTTTGAATGCCTTTTCTTTTGCTAGTCTTAAAGAAAGTTCGAAGGTTCGAAACTAGCGCAAGATTTCGTGGATGAAGTAGAATGTAGCTAGAAGACAGATTTGTAGCATTCAAAATTGAATTCTTGAGTCACTGTGTACGTTTTATTAAAGTGCGTAGAGTAATTCAGGGTCAATTTCGATTTCCTCGTCTTGATTATCCGGACGATTTTGTTGCTAGTTGATTTGAAAAGACGTAGTTATGCTACTTAAAGAGTTTTTATAAGTTTTAGTTTTTGCATTCAGCATTTTTTTTATTTCCGCTGCAATGTTATGTTTTTGGCAGAGATTGTGATAAACATTATCACAATTTGACAAGCTCGAGCTTGTTAATGGCTGTTCGTAATACTAAAGTAGTTTGTTTCCGTGTGTTGCAGTTTAAAGAGATTGCGCAAGCGTATGAAGTGTTGAATGATCCAGAGAAGCGTGAGATATACGACCAGTATGGTGAGGATGCATTGAAGGAAGGAATGGGTGGCGGAGGTGGCGGTGGTCATAACCCGTTTGACATCTTCGAATCCTTTTTTGGTGCTAGTGGTAACCCTTTTGGAGGTAAGCATTTTTATTTTCAACATGTCTGTAAAATTGTCTCGATTCTTTCCATGTGCGTATTTTAATAATTTTTAAAATGTTACTGTAGGTGGTGGAGGTAGTAGAGGACAAAGAAGAGTAAGAAGGGGAGAGGATGTTGTTCATCCCCTAAAGGTTTCGTTGGATGATTTGTACAACGGGACATCAAAGAAGCTCTCTCTTTCTCGGAATGTTCTTTGCCCCAAATGCAAAGGGTGAGGCTTTGTTTTATTTATACCATATTATATTTTTATTAATCTTCTGTTGAAATTGAAACAAATATTGATGTATATTGGCTTTTGCGGGTGGTGCAGTAAAGGGTCGAAATCTGGAGCTTCGATGAAATGTTCGGGCTGTCAAGGAGCAGGGGTGAAAGTCTCTATGAGGCAGATAGGCCCGTCAATGATTCAGCAGATGCAGCATACTTGCAGTGACTGCCAAGGCAGCGGTGAAAGAATTGCCGACAAAGACCGCTGCGCGCAGTGTAAGGGCGAGAAGGTTGTGCAAGAAAAGAAGGTTTTGGAAGTGGTCGTCGAGAAAGGCATGCAACACGGCCAGAAAGTCACCTTCCCAGGCGAGGCCGATGAAGCGGTAATTCTAATGACCAATTATTTTGATTATATTCGTGGTTTATTTTTATGAAATTTTGACTGAATCTTGATTTTTTTTCAAATTTTGACTGAATCTTGATTTTTTTTCTTGCAGCCCGACACTGTCACGGGAGATATTGTGTTTGTACTTCAACAAAAGGAGCACCCTAAGTTTAAACGAAAGGGCGACGATCTGTTTGTCGAACACACCTTGACACTTACTGAAGCACTGTGTGGTTTTCAGTTCATCTTGACTCATTTGGACAATCGGCAACTCCTCATTAAATCTGAATCCGGTGAAGTTATCAAGCCTGGTAAGTTGTATTCAGTTAATATTTCTTCGAAATTAAAATCCATCCCGTTTCATTTATATTACGTGGTATCTCTCTGTTCCAAGAATTCTGATGTGTGTTGTTTTTTGGCCGATATCTCAGATCAATTCAAGGCGATTAATGACGAAGGAATGCCCATGTACCAAAAGTCATTCATGAAAGGGAAACTTTACATACAATTCAGTGTGGACTTCCCAGAATCTTTGAACCCCGAGCAAAGCAAAGCTATCGGCACCGTACTTCCCTCGAAGTCTACAAATCAACTGACGGATATGGAATTAGACGAGTGCGAGGAAACAACTTTGCATGATGTGAACATGGAAGAAGAGATGCGTAGAAAACAGCACCAGCATGCACAAGAGGCTTATGACGAAGAAGACGACGACATGCACGGAGGTGGCGCTCAGAGGGTGCAGTGTGCTCAGCAGTAATTTCTGTGAGGGGCTGCGGTGAGTTGAGAACTGAACTCACTGGTTTGCGGGTTCGATGAGGGTTTTAGGGCGATGCGATAGTATTTTATGCTTGTTTGTTGTAGTTTATGGCTGATTGCTTATGTGTACTGAAGGGATATTTTATTTGATGCAAATGGAATGTGTTGGAGACAGTTATTCGGTAAAGTCAATAGGACCATTTCTTGAAGTTTGCTAAGAAACTTCCGAGACTTGTGGAAATCGAATTCGCTTTCTTTTAGATTGATCACATATAAGTGTACTATTACGGATATTTTGAAAAATCTGTGCGGATAGTACGGATTTTGCACTTGTCGTTGGCCATTACCTCATCTCATTCTGCAGAAGCGACCCGGTTTTGCTCCTCATATCTCCATTGATTCGAGTTGTTCTTAATTTAGTGATAACTAACGCTATGATTATTATAGATAGTAATCGAGTCATGTGAGCTGAACTTTGTATTTGCATGCTCGCTGACAACAAACTATTTGTAAAACAACGAAGAACAACTATTTGTAAACCAACGTAGAAACAAGTCTTTTATATGGGAAAAAAAGGACACCCTATATGGGTTTATAAAGAATTCTTTCCATTTTCACACGAGAAATATTTGAAATGATTCAAATTAATGTATAAGCTTGAATGAATATTCGTTAGGTTAAATTTCTTTTTGAACTCGTTACATCAGTTTTAGTATAAGCTTGAAAGAAAATTCAATGGATGGACGCGTATAAATTTTTTATTTATTGGCAAAGTGTTTTGTCAATTAGTACTATTAGTTGCATAAAAATAAATGTTAATAGATATGCAGAATAATAAATTTAATAAATAATTAAATTATTTATTTAATCGCGCTTAAGATTCGAATTGAGCTATAGTGTACTCAATCGACTCATCATTGATTTTTTGTGTTTAATAAAATGACTCAAATTCGATTCAACTTTCAATTAGTGTCTCAGAATCATTAGGCTTTGAGGAATTCATTGATTTTTTGCATTATTATCTCTTACTTAATTGATGTCCAATCACTTGTGGATCAACAGTAGCTGTCACAATTGACAAATGAAGTTCTTCTCATGTTGGAATTGGACAAATTTTATGTTAAATTGATTTTCTCGATTGTATTTGATTAGTGAAATGCTTTTTGGGATTGGAACTTTGCTATTTGCAATTCATACCTCAAAAACACTTCTCTCACTATAAATCATTTTTTCCACCCACCCCCAAATCTGAAATATTTAAAAGAAAAAGAAAATTCAAAAAATTCGAATTCAAGCAAAAAAAAAAAAAAGAAGCCAAATTTATCAAAATTTTGAGGTATTTTCAACTCCTAAACGTTTTTATTACTTTGGATAGGAAATTTCGGTTGTAATTTCATGTTAAAGAGCCCTACAATAGATTTGTAGGCCTTTTTTTCTTCAAAATTGCGCTCGGTGAACGCCCAAACCAACATTTTTCACGCCCGATTTTGATGTGGAAAATGCTGGAAAACGCCCGGTTTGACTGTCCCGTTCGTGAATGCTCGCTCGGTTTGAGTGTCCGGTTCCAGTTTGAGTACCCTATCTGGGCGTTCAGATACAAATAGCATTATGTTTGAACTACAAATAACAATTTTTAAACTATAAAAAGTAAGTCCCATTTGATTATCATATTTGTAATTTTTATTGTCACATATTTAAAATAAGGGGTCTTTACAAATAAGCCCATCAATGGGTACTTATTTATAAAGAGATCAAGACAAAAAACTCATTTACCAATAAGTCCACACATGGTCCAAATTTTTGTAAAGGACTTAAGTAACCCCTCATACTTTAATATGCTCCAATTTCATCCTTAACTTTACTTAACCTCAATTTGACCCCAAATTTCACAAATTATTCAATTTTGACCAAAAAAATTATTTTTTCAAAAACTTTTTTTTTTCCCGCCGGATTCCGGCGTTGACTTTTCATATATATATATATATATATATATATATATATATATATATATATATATATATATATATATATATATATATGTTTTTTTTCTTCTTCCAGGTTTTTTTGCCGGTTTCCGGCGTTGACTTTTTCGATTTTTTTTTTCTCTTCTTTTCTTTCTTTCTGTAACTTTTTTTTTCGTTTACACAACAATATTGCTGTGATTGACAGTAATATTAACTATCTTACTGTTAAACACAGTAAAATTAACTAATCTACAGTTTAACATAGTAATATTGCTGTATTAATCTCTAGCACAGTAACATTAACACAACAAAACTCATTATTATTGTGTAATAGAGTAATATTCCTATGTTGACCGTTCAACAAATGCAAACATAATAAAAAGCTAAAAGAATTAATATTACTGTGAGTGACAGTAATATTACTATAACAACAGTATATTACCGTCAACCACAATAATATTATTACGTTACTCCGTGAATAACTCAAACAAACAAAAAAATACAAACAAAATAATAATATTGATGTGGTTGACAACAATATTACTATAACAACAGTAATATTACCGTCAACCACAGTAATATTATTGTCTTTACAGTAATATTACAATAATAGACAGTAATATTATTACGTTACTCCGTGAATAATTCAAACAAAGCAAAAACCCCAACAAAATAATAATATTGATGTTGTTGATAGTAATATTATTGTGTTTACAGTTATTTTACCGTCAATGACAGTAATATAATTACGTTGACTTGTCAACAAATCAAAAAAAATAAAAAACAATAACAAAATATAAAAAATAATAATATTACGTTAATTTACTGTCAACGTCAGAACAATTACATAAATGTATTGTCAACGGCAGTATAATTACGTTAATTCACTATCATTGACAATATAATTACGTTAATTTACTGTCAGTGACAGCACAATTACGGTCAATTTTTAGCGACGGACGTAAAAAAAACAAACAAACAAACAAAAAAAAAACTTTAAAAACTCTAAAAAAAGTCAACGCCGGAAACTGGCGAAAAAATCCGGAAGAAAAGAAAAGAAAAAAGAAAAGAAAAAAAAATGAAAAGTCAACGCCGGAGTCCGGCAAAAAAAAAAAGTATTGGAAAAAAAAAGTTTGGGGTCAAAATTGAATAATTTGTGAAATTTGGGGTCGAATTGAGGTTAAATTAAGTTAATGATGAAATTGGAGCATATTAAAAATTGGGTATAAAGGGTTTAGGGTAATATTGGGATATACATGAATGTTTCCTTTATTTATAATAAATATTAAAGGGATGGGCTTATTGGTGAAAGAGATATAGCCCCTAAACCTAGAATAATAAAGGTGTATGGTTTGGGACTTTATAAAAAAAAACCCTTAAAATAATTCACGAATAATAGTTACTAAGATTTATAATAAGTAAAAATATAAAGGCTTAATATGCTAGAGGTCCCTAGTTGGAAACATAATTAGATATGTGATACAACCCTCATATTTTTTTCTGAACTAAATCATTTTTACAAAAATAAATATGACCCACATCTTTTACTTTTTTTTATCCCAAATTTGCCCTCAACCTAAATCCATAAATTCTACACGTTTCTCTCAGATCTATTTTTCTTATTTTCTTCCCTCTTCTGTTTCTCTAGTTCTCGCTCGTTCACTCTCTCTCTCTCTCTCTCTCTCTCTCTCTCTCTATCTCTCTCTCTCTCTCTCTCTCTTTCTCTCGTTCTCCCTCTCTCGTCTCTCTTTCTCTCGCTCTCCCTCTCCATCACTTCTCACCATTGCCGAGGGGCGATGGCTATGGCGCAACTATGACGGTGGATGTGGCGTTAATAAGGGGATGGTTATGGAGGCATGAGGCGACGACGACTATGGTGGTGGAGGTCAAATCTACGGCCGACGGTGGCGGCTAGGCTAGGGTTTAATTTGGTCGGCGGCTAGGGTTGGTGGACGACTAGGTTTTTGCAGGTAAGGTAGGGTTTAATTTGGTCGACGGTTATGGCGGCTAGGGTTTAATTTGGTCGATGGCAAGGGTATAATTTGTTCGGCGGCTAGGGTTGGTGGACGACTAGGTTTTTGCAGGTAGGATTTGGCGGCAGCTGAAATTTATTGGCTGCTATGATTTAACGGTGGCTGGAAGATGTTGGAAGTTACGGTTTGGCGTCGGCTGGGAGTTGGTGAATGATAGAGTTTGGAATAGTACACCAAAGTATACTACCATAGCGTAGTATTATTTGACAAAAACGAAACTACATGTGTCTACAGATGACTACGATCGGGAAAAAAAAAAAACATAATCTTCAATATTATGTAGAAAAAAAAAGACAAAAATGTAGATTGTTATATTAATGAGAAAAAAAAAACAAGAAAAGAAATGTATTCCACGTAAAAAAATAAAATAACAAAAATGTTAGATGCGACAGTTTTGGAGTGAATTTTGATAAATGATATGAAGCAAATTTTAATTGGAGTGAATTTTAATAAATGATATGAAGCAAATTTTAACTAGATTTTTTATTTAGTTCAATAATTTTAGGGTCAATTAATCCATTACAAAACCTTAAGAACATCTAGATGATTAAAATACACTAATATATATATATATATATATATATATATATATATATATATATATATATGGAATTTTTGTGCATAAGTCCCCAACCAAACATCATTATTACTCTAGGTTTACGGGCTATATCTCTTTCACCAATAAGCCCATCCCATTAATATTTATTATAAATAAAGGAAATATTCATGTATATGCCAATATTACCCCCAACCCTTTATACCCAATTCTTAATTCTAACCCCAATTTAATCAATTGTATATGCCAATATTACCCCCAACCCTTTATACCCAATTCTTAATTCTAACCCCAATTTAATCAATTTTGTCCACAAAAATTCAATCTTGACCACAAAAAATCAATTTTGACTTTTTTTGGAGCAAACTTTAATATGCTCCAATTTCATCCTTAACTTAATTTCATCTCAATTTGACCCTAAATTTCACAAATTATTCAATTTTGACCAAAACCTTTTTTTTTTGCCGCCGGATTCCGGCGTTGACTTTTCAAATTTTTTTTTTCTTTCGCAATTTTTTCGCCAGTTTCCGCCGTTGATTTTTTTTTTGATTTTTTCTTTTCTTTTCTTCCGGATTTTTTCGCCGGTTTCCGGCGGTCTCCGACGTTGACTTTTTTTAAAGTGTTTTTTTATTTTTTTTTATTTTTTTTTTATTTTTTTTTACGTCCGCCGTTAAACGTTGACTATAATTGTGGTGTCACTGACAGTAAATTAACGTAATTATACTGTCAATGACAGTTAATTAACGTAATTGTACTGCCGTTGACAATACATTTATGTAATTGTGCTGCC